GTATATTAAGTAAAGTTATTTAGAATCAAAATATACTGTTGAGCCTCCCAAAACTGATCCTGTTAAGACCGGTAACCTGTTAAATCTGATAAAAAATTAATATACCAAGTAAGTTTCTGATACATAAGTCTAATATAATGCTTTAAATCTGATAACCTCTCAATATTGATATAAAACTTGTCCACCCTGCATATCGATTTTGGGAGATTCAACAGTATATCCTAAAAGTTTGATATGAATTAACTTTTTATTTTTATTTTTTAGGTCATACAAAATACTGAGAGCCAGGTTTAAAATTTTTGTTCTGAAACAAGTTTAACTTATGTTTGAACTTATTATATGAAAAACCCGATTCTTAGAGTTTAATTTGGAACATAAGGGTTTTAGGCCCTAAACCGAACCTAAAATAATTATACCATCTCTAATCATGGGTAAGAAGATGCTTTTCTAAAGCGTATAGCCAGGGAAAAGATTGATTACATCCAGGACGCTTACAAGTAAAAGGTTTAAACCTTATATGTACAATTATATGGTTTTCCAAATCAGATTGACGAAGGAAACGATAATTACAACTCGGTTCATTGCACGCATACTGTCCTTTTTGAAATATTAGGCTAGGTTGGTCATGTGAACATGAATCCGTACGTTTTTTATGCGACCTATCCTCTTCAAGCTTGTGAGAAGACCAACACTCTATCGTCTGTTCACGTAACTCTTGTGTTATAGATAGTTTGGACTCTTGGTCTATAACCATTTTATCGTAAGTTTCTCGATTCACCTCTGGAACTGAAAATGAGCTGTTATGTGACAAGCGAGACATCTCTGGACCAATATTTTCGCTCAAAGATGGCATCACTTCTTGATTTATAGATTCCCTAGTGAAATTTGGATTAAACGCGGATTTTCTCTTTCTGTAGCGTACCATCTCAGAATTCAAATATGGATCATTCATATATATTGATTCATGAATTATTGACTGACAAGGGAGATTTTGATTATATTTCGCATAGTGA